AGTCGCTGGGCCGCGGGGAGGGGGACAGCCGAGAGGTTTCGGTGCAGCTCTTGAGCGCAGTGCGCGGTCGAGGTGTCCCTAGGGCTCCCCCCTGAAATGCGGGCCAGAAAGGTCGTTTGGGTGCCGTTTTGGCTCTGTCCCAGGCTTTTCCTGCCAGGTGCATCCAGGTGCTCACCCTGGCGGTGTGTTTGCTTTTGCTCAGTGTGGGCAACAGTCGTGGCGAGGAAGGAGGCCGCTCCAAGGGGGTCGTGCTGGCGGCCTGTGGAAAAGCATCCTGCCGTCCGCGCCTGTGAGCCCTGTGGGGAAAACTCAGCTTGTCTCTCTCTCTCTCTCTCTCTCTCTCTCTCTGGGTTTTTGGTTTTGGTTTGGTTTTGTCTTTTTTTGTGATCGAAGGCGTATCAGGCTTCTGACAGAAGAATTCATTTGAGGCTGGATATAGGTGTGGAATACTTGCCAAGGGGCAAGTAATGGAGGCCAATCAAAGTTTGTTGTCCCCGAGATGTCGGGACAGATTGGGGTGGCATTCACCTGTCCAGCTGTAGCCCTCCCCCAACTCGCGTTTCCCGGTTTTAGTAGCAGCACCTACTGCTGTCTGTTGGCTGCCCAGAGAACTGGAATGCGTCTGGGTGACTTTCTCCCGCTGGTGTTTGACTTCTGGGTGGAAGAGCGGGAAGGATTGCCAAACCATCAGCAACTGAATTGTTGGGCTCTCAGTGCCAACACCATCTTGATAATGGTCGTGGAAGGGTACCTCCTTACAGTGGTCATCCTTCACATTGAAAAAGCTGAGGGGATTAGATCTGGAACTGGTATATGTTTTTTTTTTGTTTGGTTTTCAAAGCACAGTCTAGGATAGTACAGGGAGTTATGACTGCTAGGTAAGAAAGGGGTCGTGCCTGGAAAACCAATGGGTATGTTTTCTCACTACCCTGAAAAGTTTCTGTTTCATGTAGTCTTCATAAAATGTTCGTATATCCTGTATTTTATGGTTACAAATCTGATTACTAAAATATAAAACAGCAATGTAATGTAACGAAAGAATGTAGAAGGTTCTCATTTTATGAATTCTGAATTCTCTTTCGAGACTTTTACGAGGCAAGGACTTGCTTTGTGTTTTGCTTGTAGAAAGAGACAGGGACCAGCTTACAAGTCAAAATTGAATGTGGAGAGAGGAGGGAGAGGTGATGATTTTACAGGAAAATATTTGATTCCAAACAGAACTCATTACATGTTTGTAGTGAAACTGTTACAGAAGCCCTATAGAAGTCTTTCTAGAAATGTGGACTAGTTGTGGCTGGATATTTGTTTCAGATCCCCATATTACTTATTTCTTTGCTCTTTTTAAGTGGAAGAATTTTAGTTGCAGCGCTGATACTAAGTATTTAATACCAGGATGCTTCTGCTACCTTGCATTCTACTGGTCTGTGTATTGCACTAACATGGTGCTATTGACTTTCAGCTGCAAACTGAAAGCTTGGAGCAGCTAGTTATGATGAATTTCTATAGCCAGCTTAATACAGGAAGACATATCTCAAAATTTTGTAGTGTTGGACTGGAACCCTTCTAGTTTATATGCGCTATGTAAAGTGGAAGGCCAAGTCATCTCTAAATACTAATCAAGACTGGAAAACAGGGGGAGAGTTTGCAAATAGATTGCCTTTGTTCTTTTGTCTTAGAGCATTTTCCAAACTGTCATGTCTGGGAGAAAGAAGGGTGTATTTTGATAGTATTAGAAATCAGCAATATAATGTTTAATACTGGACTTACAGAGGCCAGCTGTAAGAAGGAGCAAGAATCCATATGAGAACAAGGCAGTAACATAGCCGTGATGAGGGTTTAAAATACCTGTCTTCTTTTCAGCCATTTAAAGTTCTGGCAACTGAAACTCTAACTGGAAAGGCGTTAGAGGCAGATATATACAATGCAATTCCTACTGAAAAGGTGGACGGAACCTGCTGTTATGTAACTACCTATAAAGGTAATAAGGAAGATT